TCTAATAAACAATTTCTTCTTTGGACTAGATTTGGCAGAATCTGGCGAGGCAAGGTGCACAGACTAAATTAGCATTAGCTTGTTTCTTGATAAGCGTGGACAGAAGCTGCAAACTCCTTATGCAAGTGAGAAACAATAAAGATAAGATACCGTTCGATCTTCTGGAAGACAAGCAACAAATTGCTCTACTCGCTTATTTTCTAGGATTTTACAAAGACCCAAGTTACAGCAAGCAATTAGGGTAAGACGACAAGAATACGAGTGTTTTAAATGTTCCACAAGCCCAATTTTCGAAATGTAAAAGAGGATGTTAAAAAAAGCCAATTTTGGTTCAAAAAGGTGTAAATAAAAACAATAGTGTAAGCGATATTATTATACTCAACCATCGCGCCCTAAGACAGCGTAACCGGCATGTCCCTAGATAGCGCTAGATAGCTCGACCAATAACGATAGCGGTGGCGCTGGCTTAGAGCGGCAACGCGCGAGAGAAGACAGACGATTGTAACGGATCTGCAGTCGAGGTGTGCGTGTTCTGCTTCCCTCGAATAAAGTCTTAATTTGTGATACGCACCGTCAGTCTTTCTACCCTCCCTTACAATAGTGTTTTTTTATAGGTTTTGATCTCCTGAATACGATAGAACTATTAAAAAGTTTGTAATGCTTGGGGAACACCTTGAAAATTGAGCATAAACACAACTTTTTACTAAATATGTTGTGTTTATGCTCAATTTTCAAGGTGTTCCCCAAGCACTACGAACTTTTTAATAGTTCTATCGTATTCAGGAGATCAAAATATATATAAAAAAACTATTGTTTTTACTTACATTTTTAAGGGCCAAAATCGGCTTAACATCCTTCTTTGGAACACGAAATTAAATTGATTTACATTTTAAAAGTTGGTGTAACGCTTCCAAAATTATTTAATTGATAATGACGATTTAAAGTATAATTCGTTTTGCAGAATAGAGAATAGTCTATCGATTGGTTACGTAGAGCCATCTACGTATCAGATAGATAATATATCGGAATCAGAAGGATTGCACGGCGCGAAGAAAAATGTAGACTCCGATGATGTTGCGGAATATCGGGATTGCTCTGGGATTGTAGCGGACACAAAGCAGGAGGATCAAATTGATCCCAGCAATAGTACCACACTCGTTGGTTGCGGCCATACCGTTATCGACACGCAAACGGTTCAAGGTACAAAATTATACTAATCGTCTGTAAATGATCTAAATTGAGCACGAAGTCTTAGCGAATTAAGCGTTTGTTGCACCAGCGAGATATTCTGCGTAACTAATTATATAAATATAAAAAGTCCCGTAGAAATCGAACGCGAATGTTTTACATAATTTTTGTATATTTTTCTAGATGGTCAACTGACGGCAGACGAGATCTCCAATCCGGATAAATCGAAGGATATATTGTTGAAGGGCAAATGGAAGAAGAAGATCAGTGACAGTGAGAAAGAGAAGAACGAAGATATAGAGCCACTTACGCTCCAGATGTTACGTTATTTAGGAACTAAAATCACGGATTTTGAGAAAGAGATTATATGCAACATCTGCGTGGAACGTCGTCGTATCGTTGTCTTTCTATGCGGACATGGCGCGTGCGAGCACTGCACCGCTTTGCTAAAGATCTGTCACATATGTCACAAGACGATCACAAAAAAGATCAATTTGTATTAGACTATCCGATCAATGATCACACTGGAACGTTAATTACTACGCGGTGCGCGCGTGTATACCCGAGGAATAGAAGTCAAAATAATATCAAAATGATGTCAAAGTATAATCAAATTTTAGTTTGTCAAAATGACGTCAAATTGCATAAATTTTTTATGTTTTCTTAATCATTTCAGTTTTGTTATTAAAATATATTTATTTTAAATAAAATAAA